TTTCGTGACCGGCAACGGATCGCAACCCTCAGTGTCGCGCCCGTACCGGACCGGGACCGGGCAACGAGATCGCAACCCTCGGTGCTGCGCCCGCACCTCGCTCAGCCAGTGAGCGGCCGGTCTGTATGTTGGATCCGAATCCTCGGCGGGAGCGCCGCCGCGCCCCCAAGCGGCGCACTGTAGCAGTGCGCCACCGGGCCGGCCCCAGAGCCAGCGTTCTATGATACTTTTTGCACTATGGGCAAGAAACAAAGTAGCTACTAATCTAGAAAGATGTGAAATTTGAAGACCAGTTGCTGTTTTGGGAACATTGGGCTCTTCAGACAAAGGCTCAGTAAAGTAAAAGTACAAATGATAACCACATGCCAATTTGGTCAATTCCCTCCCTAGGTCCGACTGACCAAATAACTAGCTTATTTCTCAACCATTGGTTGGCTTTCATGTCAGATCTGGTCAGTTGCTAATGACCTTGTTCCCCACTGGGCAGACTCACCATCAGGGCCCTGGCGGGCGGCAGCATGCAGCGCTGTGTCCCCGTGGCGGTCCTGGTGGGCAGGGTCTGCCCCAAGTCGAAGCAGCAGGCACAGGGCAGGGGCATCGTGGCGGGCACAGGCCCGGTGCAGTGGTGGGGGTTGCCCAGCATCTACATCAAGGCCCGGGTGTCTCTGGAGGAGGGCCTGGGCCCGGACCAGCCGTCCTGCAGACAAGTAACGACGGAAGCGACGCTCTCTGCGTTGGCGGCGGGAAGTGGAGGCCATGGAACTTTTGGGCTAAGAAGGAAAGAAAAAAGGCAGCAGTCAGGGCCCCAACCTTGGCTGGTCCTTCCCCCTCCATCTCTGACACTTCCTCTTGTGCCTCTCTTTGATTGCCCGTTTCTTCTTACATCTTCAGCAAGAGTTGAGGCCTATCCTGATCTTCATCCCTTACCAGAGGATAGGTTTGAAAAAAATTCTGAGTGGGGCTGGGTCACAGATGTAATTTTTTAATGTAAAATTTGAGAAAAGGATAAATAATTGCTTAAAGGCTCATAAGCCCATGGAAATTTTCAATAAAGGATTTTTAGAAAAACGAATAGGGCCTGATGGGATAATTTTTATCATCAGAAATTTGAATTTAAAAAAGTCACCGATAATTTCAAATAATGATCTAGAAATTAAATATAATGTAAATGTACCCGGTAGACAGATGTAGAGGCTTCCCCCTCTGGGACCTGGGGGGAGGGGTTACTCATCAGACCTGCACCCCGCCCCCCAAGTATCCTCAGAGCTGCAGGCCGGAGGCCTGTGTTTAAGACGCTCGAAGAAGGGAGGCGGGAAGGGCGGAGATATTCCAGGCCGGCGGAAATGGCGTACGCAGAGACGCAAGGGAAGGGCGGAAATGAACTGTGAGGCACATTACCGTAGGTCGTTCCGCCCCAACAAGGTGGTTTCTCGATCTGGCCTCCGGGGGGAAAACTAGGAACTTAAGATAAAGGGTCCGCCTCAAAACGGAAGACTTCGAAAGGCGAGGCGAGGAAGGGGAGAAAGAAGGGCTGTTTGGAGGTTAATCCACGCCTCCCCCAACGAGGAGCAGAGAGGAAATGGTTCGGTGATGGACGAAAAGAGAAGAGAAAGAGAAAACAGTGGAGATAGGGTAAAAATAATAATGGAAATGGAAAACAAAAACCACAGTGAGGCCAAGAACAGGGACAGTTCAAAAAAGAGAAAAACACAGACACGAAAAGATATAAGTAGACAATCGTAGGACAGGGCAAGTGGGATAGATGCAGAAGTTTGGACTTGGGAAACATGTAGAAAAAGATGGAAATGGAAACGAGAGCGAGAGAGGAACAAAAGTTGGGAAAATTAAGAGAAGCCCAGAATACTTTTTTCGCAGTACAAGGTTTACGAAGACATCCTTATCTGCTCACCCCACTCTCAACCCCACTATGTCTCCTTCTCTGAGACCAATCAGGCTCTTCTCCTCCCATCCAAATACTTCTCCCCAACCCTCCCCGCATCCCTAGACCTTCCCTACTGGAAAGGACCTGCACCTGCTGCGTCGTTGACCGGAAGATTTGGGCCTGGTCTCTGCTGCTCCCAGGCGGCCCTTCTGGGTACTGCCTGAGTGAGATGTGGGAAAGGAAGGCCAGTCATCAATGGGAGGATCAGACTGGGGGAGACACCCGGTGCAGGAGGCTGAGCGAACAGGGGAGCACTAAGACCCAGGGGTAGTGGAGGACCGCAGGAACGAGCTGGAGGAGGAGAAGTAAGGGGCGGGAGCCATCTGGTACTTTGGGAGCATTCGATACAGCATCTGCCATAACGACAGAAATGGCCAGTCAGACCCAGGGCATCCAGCAGCTCCTGCAAGCTGAGAAGCGGGCAGCTGAGAAGGTGGCTGATGCCAGAAAGAGTGAGTCTCCTCTTCCCTCCCTTAGGAGTCTGGAAAGAAAATTGGGGGTAGGGGACCGCAACATTTGAGTCCTTAGGAAAATCCAAGGCTGGTGGGGAGAGGGGTGGGGGCTGGAGGCCGGTCAGGAGGGAAGAAATGTGTGGGTGTTAGAATCTAGCACCTGGTTGGCTGGGAGAAGGCTGAATAACTTTTTATAAAGGATTGACTCCTACTATCTCTTTTTTGGGGGGGTCTACCCCCACACACTGTCCTTACTTCTTCCTCCAGGAAAGGCCCGGCGTCTGAAGCAAGCCAAGGAGGAGGCACAGATGGAGGTGGAGCAATACCGCAGAGAGCGAGAGCAGGAATTCCAGAGCAAGCAGCAGGCAGTGAGTTGTGGGGAAACTGGGATGGGACCCTCGGATGCAAGTTGGTGGGTGCATCTGGTGAGGTGTGTACAGGGTGACTCAACAAGAAAATATAGTGGTAGAAGGCTGAGGGGACACTGGCAAGGACCACAACGTTAGTAGGGCTTTGTGATATGTAAGAGAGTCTGAGAATTTTTTTTTTTTTTTTTTTTTTTTTTTTTTTT